TCTGAAACAGTTTCGGCAGTTTCGTTTCTTGAAACCCTTGGATATCTTTATCAGGGTTTTAAAATACGCGAAAAACTTACGTCTGCGCAAAAGGTAACATTGAGGGACGAGAAAGAGGATGTCGACAAAATTTGTATCGAGGTACAAAAAACTGCTGACAACGCAGGTGGAAAACCTACACGCGGTTTCTCAGTTCAACACAAAACATTTAGTGCTTTGAACTACGTACGCTCAAGACTGGAACCACAGTAAAGGAATCGCTTAAAAGAACATATCGCATATTGCATATCGGTGAATGGCGGCAGCATGGCGAATTGGTACCACTTAATTTCCGAGTTAATTCATAGTGATGGATGCGAAAGGTTATCTGAATGTCAATGACTTACGGAAAATTTGGGAGGAAGAATTTTTGCCTAGTATTAAGCGTGAATTGAAAAGCGAATTCGAAGCACTCAGAACAAGCATTAAGACCTTGACAGCACGTGTTGACGGGATAGAGAAATCTCAGTCCTTTATATCGGAAAAGTACGAGCCTGTTTTAAAAACGCTCAAGTCATTGAACCAAACGACAAACACGCTGGGGAAAAAGGATGCTGAGATGACAAAGATCGCCGAAAGCTTGGCCGAGCGAGCTAACCGTGTGGAGCCGGCAGTCTACAGAATTGAATGTGCAATCGATGAAGTCCAACAATACTCTCGAAGAGACTGTCTGAAAATAACGGGCATTCCAATACGGCCGGAGAAAAATCCAAAGCAGCTTATCAAAGAGATTTATACTTTAATCGATGTAAATGTTGAAGACGCTCACCTAGCAGCAGCTCACCGGCTTCCTGACATCAAGAATGTGAAGCATCGGTTGATTGTCAAGTTTGTACATAGAGATAAAAGAGAAGAAATGTACAAGAAACGCAGGAATCTAATTGGAAAGAATATTAGCAACTTGCCCTCCGTACAAGCCACAATGGGTCTCGCTGCTACAAGCAACAATAAAATCCACATCAATGAATCTCTCACAGGTTATCGCAAACAACTCTTTGGCCGTATCAATGACTTCAAGCGAAAGAATAACTACAAATACCTATGGACTGCAAATGGGAAGATCATGCTGAAGGCTCAAGATTCTTCACAAACCAAATCTTTTGTTACACATGAGGAATTTGAAGACTACATCGAACAGATAAGCAATAACTCGTAATTCTTTTTTTCTTCCCTACACTTGTGTGCCCTATAATAATATTTAACCTACAGACACATACATATTCAACCTCAATCATCCCCAAAATAGCCTGCAAGCTTTACCTTTTGATGACCTGGATGACAGAGAATTTCATATTCTAGATGGATCCTGTCACTTGCAGATAGATAATTTAAAAGATTTAGATTTATATAATTTGTCTCACAAGTTTCCCCAGTGTATAAGGGTGGTGATGCTACAGACCCTAGCAACTATCGGCCCATAGCAACTCTCTCACCTTTTAGTAAAGTGCTCGAGCGTCTAGTCTATAATCAGTTATATTCGTTCATAGATAAACATCAAATCTTGTACAAATATCAGTTTGGATTTAGGAAAGGATATTCCACTGAACAAGCTATTCTTGAAATTATTGACAACCTGAAGCTAGCTACTGACAAAGGTCAAATAACATGTGGTTTATTTCTCGACCTATCAAAGGCATTTGACACAGTAAATCATGAAATACTGCTCTCTAAACTATATCTGTATGGAATTCGGGGTACACCACATAATTGGTTTGAAAGTTATTTGCACAATCGAAGACAATATGTTAAAATTGACTCTACTAAATCTAGCTATGCGGAGCTTTGCTGACGACACCAATTTATTTTACTCCAGCGCCAACTTAAAACAGCTTGAATCCGTAATGAATCAAGAGCCTAAACAAATTTATAACTACTGTGCTCTAAATAAGTTATCTATTAACACTGCAAAGACCAATTACATGTTAGTCTCATCATCTAGATGCCACCCAAAGATAAATATCACTGGTATTGAACAGAAAGATTACATAAAGTACTTGGGAGTTTATATATTAGATAAACATCTCAATTGGCAACCACAGATACAACATGTAAATAATAAATTAGCTAAAAATTTAGGAATCCTTTCAAAACTAAGATATTACATAGATCTGAATATACTGAAACACATTTATTATGCTTTAATATATCCCTATTTGAGTTACGGTATTCTTGCTTGGGGCTGTGCCAGCAAAACCAGATTAGATTGTCTTCGTATTAAACGTAATAAATGTCTCCGCACCATCTTCTTTGTGCATCCTAGAGAGAGTGCTGCTCCCTATTTCAAACTCCTAACAATCCTTAAATTAGATAATATATATAAATTAAAAATATGTTGCTTTATACATAGAATGAGAAATGAGACTGATAGCATTCCAGATATTTTCCTTGATGTCCTGACTCCAGCATCGCGTATACACAACCATAATACAAGATTTGTTAGTAATCTGAACTATTTTAGGCC